TATAAAATAGTAAAAAGTTAGAATTTAATCTCTTGAACATAGTAAAACATGTGCTCAGGAGAACTTTTGCTATTACAATCTGTTCAAAATAGTAAATACAATTAAATTTATTTCGCCTTGGCCTTGATTTGTATTTCGTATTTATCCTAAGATGTCTCTAGTTTCACTCGTCTCTTCATGTCTATGGTTATTCGGAGTGTGGTTTCACGCATCGTCAATTTATAAACCCCACGGATACAAAATTCAATGAAGTTTAAGATGAGGTGAGGAGTACACAATTTTCAAGTGTGTTGCATGAGACTGTAATTTGTAATAATTAATTAGAAAATTATTGTGTAAGAACATGTATACGTATAATAACAGAACTCGTCCTGTATAGGATAGAATATTTTATTTGGCACGTACACAATACAGAGCTAGTGTAAAGTCCAAAATAACACAAACAAAATAAGCTAAAACAATTCTAAAACATGAAAAACAAATTTTGATAATTTACTACAAATAAAAAGATCAGAACTTGAAAAAATCAAAACAAAAATATCTTCTCTAGCTAATAGTTGAAAATTAGGAGCATAAACATAGATTGCTGTAAATAATGCATTTCCTAATTCCCTAATTTTGTCATGGTTACATCTGAAAAAGTAATGTTTTTCATCACCAACTTCATTACAGTTACACAGATGACAGAATCTGTCTTTTTTTTTAATGTCTCTATGTCAACCTTTTTTGACTGGTAGCTGATTGGCTGCAATCCTGAATTGGGTAGAGCATTTTTAAATTTTATGTTATTGGTGTTTTCTAAATATTGTTCAAATTTAATACAAGATTTATAAGTGCAAAGTTTGTTATTATCTGTTTTGGTGATTTCCTTCTTCCATTTACTAAGGTAAATGTTTTCCATTTTTTTAGCTCGGCTGTCGACGAAGTCGAGAGGAGCTTATAGTATTACTGATTGTCCGTCATCGCCGCCGTCAACTTTACATTTTCGACTCCTTAAAAACAACAAACTGTATAGCTGTGAACTTTCTCGGAAGGTACCTTGGGTGCTTCTCTCTCAGATTTGTTCATTTCGTGTGGATATGTTCAATTGTCTTATTTATAGCGAATATTTTTGTAATTTTGGTCAAAAATGCTATTTTCGACTTCTTCTTGAAAACTGCTAGCCCTAAATGCTTTGATACTTGGTGTGTAGACACCTTGGGTGGACCTCTGTCATATTTGTTCATTTCTCTAATTTTGATGAATATTTTTGTCATTTTTGGTAAAAAAATTATATTTTCGATTTCCCCTTGAAAACTGCTTGTCCAATTGCTTTGATATTGTATATTTAGGTGTATCAGGTGGACCTCTGTCAAATTTGTTGATTTTGTGACAATATCTTCAATTCCCTAATTTTGATGAATATTTTTGATAAAAAATTATATTTTCGACTTCTCTTTGAAAACTGTGTGTCCAATTTCTTTGATATTGTATATTTAGGTGTATCAGGTGGACTTCTGTCAGATTTGTTGATTTTGTGACAATATCTTCAATTCCCTAATTTTGATGAATATTTTTGACTTCTCTTTGAAAACTGTGTGTCCAATTGCTTTGATATTGTATATTTAGGTGTATCAGGTGGACCTCTGTCAGATTTGTTGATTTTGTGACAATATCTTCAGTTCTCTAATTTTTTGATATTTTTTAATTTTTGGTAAAAATGTTATTTTCAACCTTTTGTTGAAAACCTTTACCCATGCAGCTTGGGTAGACCTCTATTAGATTTGTCCATTTCATAAAGATATCTTCAAATCTCTACTTTTAGTGATATATTCTCTGCAACAAAATCAAGAAAGTTGGTGTCTTGCAATATTAAATTGCTTCTTAGTCATTGCTTTCAGACACAAACAGCAGAGCTATAACAGCCGACAGGCTGCTAGTTGGTAAAAGTGATATTTTCAACTTCTTGTTGAAAACGGCAAGTCTGATTGCTTTGATACTAAAATATATATATATATATATATATATATATCTATATATCTATATATCTGTTCTATTTTTATGGAAGAACCTTCCCAAATAAAAAAAAATTCTAAAATTTAAAAATATAAGAGGTAGTCACTAAACCATGTACTTTCACACT